AAGATAATTAATCATATAATCTTTTAAAAGTTATAAAAGTAAATAATTAATTAGAAAATTATTAATTTAATAAATCTATAAATTAAGTGTGATATATATGATTAAATTAATAGAAGAATAAGATTAAATATAGATAATAAAATAAATTAAAAATAGAATTAATAATAAATTAAATTAATTAATATAAATTTCTCATATACTTAATTTAATAATAATTAGTGATTATTATATTATATGCTATAGCTATATTATATATTATACTACTTCTATTATATCACACAAATAAGTAATTAGTTACAATATTATCTTAATTATTATTTAATAAAATATAACTAAATAATTATCTAATAAAAAATATAATATAAAATAACTAATATTAATAAATTATATATAAAAAATCTATATTATAATAATATCAAATCTAAAGTATTAGATAAAATAATTATTAATATAAATAAAATTATTAATTAAATTATTAAATTAACTTTTTAATCTTTTAATTAATATAAAATTTTAATAAATAAATTAAAATTTCAAGAAATATCTAATTAATTTATAAATTTATAAAAGTATATAAATAAATCATCTTTAAAAGTAATTATTATAGTATATAAAAATATCTGATTTTTTTAATTTTTTGTAGATTATATATAATATACCAAATTTTTCTAAGTATAACAAATATTAATTATAATAACTTTTATAGATTGATAAAGTTTCTATATCAGATATTATATATTTATAAATTTTTAAATTTCAAATATAATTAATTATTTTGTATTGATATATTTATATTAGTTTATAATATAGATTATTTAAAACTGAAATAAATTAATGATTTTTGAAAGTTAATAGCATATCTTGTAAAGATGAAGAAAAAAAGTTTACTAATTTATAACTAAGTTGATTTATCAAACTCTTTATTTATCAGAATACAAATATAATTTTAAATGCTATTAAATAATCAAAAATGTGAAAAATTATTTGATTTTAAATTAATTTTTAAAATGCAAAAAATAATAAATCAATATAAAAGAAATAAGTAATTATAAAATGAAAAATAAAAGGAAATGATATTAAATTAATTTTTAAAAATGAAAAAAATATAAATTAATATAAAAGAAGTGAATAGAAAAATAAAAAAAATGATATTAAATTAATTTTTTAAAAATACAAAAAATCTAAATAAATATAAAAAATAAAAAACTATAACTATAAAGTAAAAAATAAAAAGAATATAACTAATAATATAAATATTATTAAAAATCAAAGATATTAAAGTTTTTTCAATTTATATTATTTATAAATTATAAAATATATTTGATTCTAAATTTCTAATAATATTTATAATAATTAATATTTCATTATTAATTCTTGAAAATATACAATAAAATTTATTAATAACTTTATTAGTCAAAACATAAGCTGATTTATTATATATTGTTAAATATTTATAATACAAAGATTAGCTAATATTTATTTGATATTACCAAAATTCCATCAATAATTAATTGACTTTTGTATTGTATAGATTTAATAATATATAATTCTGAAGAGTTTAATTATATATTACAGCAGAGGAAGATGATGAATCATATTCAAAGATAGCTTTAGCTAAACTTTGAGAATCAGGTTTTGGCGAGACCGCACTAACATTAATGGATTTATTCATTATCAGATGCTCTTTCGTGGTAGGTCCAATAGCCGCAACTTTGATCCATTTCCAAAACCTTAGATTTTTTAATGCAGGTAATGCTAAATCAACTCCTGATGGACTAAAAAACACTACCCAATTGAATGGTATTCGTTTTTCTTTAACTTGATTAGTATTTAACCCATCATTATCATAAGTATTTTGTAATTCCCGAGTGAAATCCGGTATACTTGTTGATTCGTAAACCGTGAGTTCTCGCAGATTGATGCCAGTCGGTTTGAGTTTATTGACGAGAGTGTCAAGATGTTTATCGCCCACAAGAAATAACAATGACGATGTAAATATTTCAGTGGCATTATTATCCTTATTATTAGTGTAAAAGTCTACAATGAAATCGGCTAGTAATTCCGCATTTCCAGATTCTTTTGCTCCAATTGGAGTAAATCCAAGATCTCGTGTCGCGATACTTGCAGTCATATTACCAACCACGAAAAATGGCAGAGATTTCCACTTGATTTGAATTTCGTGGGATATATCTGTTATAATAATAACACGTCAATAATAATACGAAGAGACAGAACCGGTCTTTTTACAAGAGAAAATGTTTTTTCATTTTTATTACCATTTTCTGCTGCTTTCCAAGCCTCTACAAGTGCCTTTACGGCACGTTGACTAGTCACCACAATACCCCAGATTTTTGAGGTATCAGGTCCATTTTTCAACAACGTTGATAATTCTGGCATATTAATTGACTTAAATTGTAAAAGAGGAAGAAATTTTATTTGGTAGTTGTATGCAGCGAAGTGTTTTTCATAGGAAACCTCGTTATTTTTGTCTTTGAGTAATAATACAGTTGGCACCATATCAGAAATTAATTGGGACATATCACCTAAAAATTTAAAGATTTCAGTGATTAAATTGTTTAACATCAAGAATAGTTTAGACAAAATATTATTCATTCATTGAAATGAATAAATTAATATTCCATATTAAAGATTTATATTTTAATTAGTAATGACTTTATAATATCTAAAAATTTGAAAAAAATATATTGAAACTATAAATTATGAACTTTATCTTAATATAAAAACAAAAATATTAATAAAATTATAAATTTTAATATAAAATTTTTCTCCTTGAAGCATTCCAACGAAAGGATTAGTCGCATTTCGGTGAAGTTTCTGTTTAAGATTGTAAATGAAACTTCTAAGCGTTGGGTTATAAATATCAAAATTTGGCAACACTTAGTACCGAGTATTTACGAAGGTTCTCAAAGAAATCGAATTTTTTGCAAAAGTCAAGGATGATGTCATCTTAACTATAGTAAATTGCAGAGATATTGAATATGTTTTTACATCGTCTCGATCGTGGAAATATTATTTTAAACGTTAGAATCTCAAAGTGGAGGCGCAATTTCATAAGAGGAAAATAAGAAACCTAGGACAATTCCTCGTCAAATTCCAAAATGAATTTTATATCTGATATTAAGACTGAAATTCCTGGATCCAGCAATTCTGAATTTGCTTTATGGATATCAATAAAGAGGTAATTTTCACTAACGCTAAATAGACCATTTTGCTCACGAAGCATATAACCTTAAGTGGTTCCTTTGTATCTTTCTCTCATGATCAATGCTCCATATTAAAGGTAAACTCGATAGAAATTAAAGTATTAGATTTAATAAAATGAAACAAGTGATATTACAGTGGGTCGTCATAAGTATTCGGAATTTTGATATGTGCATAGAATAACGAAAAATTGTCAAAATTGTTTTGATTAGGGAGAAGAAATTTTATTCTATATTTGAAACAAGATTCAACGACGAAGTTGGGAAATTAATATTCGACATGTTCCTGACAAAACCAGAGTTAAAGTTATAATACATAATAAATATACGAATGAAACGTCTTTTATTGACAAAATAACAATTTGTTAGAACGTTCAATAACTCGATGAACTGCTAGAATTTGATTTATTGATGGGGTGCAACCGTTCAATAAAGATATCAAAAATAAATTCCGCTTTTTGCAGGACCTATTCCTTGATTTCTTTCGCTGGTTGCGGTTTATCTAGATCTGGCTTCGTTGAAATAGTGAATAACCAGGACGAATTACAATTTGTTTTTTTTAGCGGTATTCGAACAGGGTGGTTTCGAGGCATATTTATTTAATAGAATTCTTCTGTGGATGTTATTTTTTTCCCTTTAAATTGATGTTTTGGTTGGGGCGGTGGCAACATATGATGAACCAGTGACGAGAATTACGCAGTTAACATATCTGATTTTGTAAAGTCAAAAATGTTTCTCCGAACAAGCTGTAATATCTTACAAATTCAAATTTCTCCTTTGCAGAAACTAAAAAATTTGAAAATTTCTGGAATATGTTTTCAAAACTTCTAGCTTTAAAGTGGGTATAAAAACTATGGGTATTAGGTCGGAGAGACTTCGTGAAACTTTAAGTATTTAAGCCGCAAAATAATGGTCTAAAATTTAAAATTGGAATTATCGTTATCAAATTTATATATATATATATATATTAGAGATGACTGTGATAACCTTGATTGAGATTTGGAATATTAAAATTGGAATCTCCATCCAAATCGTCAAGAGCTGCTTGAAGCCTATCTAACTCCGGATTCTCGGGAATATTTGGTTCTCGATTTGTATTCTCGGTTGATGTTGTTTCTTGCCTGGTGTATGGTACTTTTCTGTTGTTATTTGTTTTTGGCATAGTTCCTGTCCTGACAAATTTAACAAGTTCCGGCGAAGGTGAATAACCAACAGTTTGCATTTCCTCCAAAGCAATAGTTGCTCTGGGATCTCGATGTCGTGCACATTTGCTAACAATTGCTTCGTAAGCAGTTATTGGTGGTAAAATATCACGCGATTTTATTTCTTCAAGTAAGGTAAATGCATCCTCGTAATCTGCGTCAGTACACACTAGTTGGATCATAGTGGTGAATATTCGAGGAGATGGATCAATGCCTCGTCTACGCATTTCTTCAAAGTATTGTTGACCAAGAGAACGTTGGTTTATAGTAAGACAACACTGCATAAGCATTTCGAAAGTTTCCGCGTTTGGCATTATATTAAGTGTTTCGGCTTGATTATAAATCTTTACAGCTCTGTCTATATCAGCTCCATGAGACCTGTTCTCTTGATTGTATTTGGCATAGTGACAGGCTTTAATTATTGCATTTAAGGCTGCTACGTCTATTTTTCTACCATTTGAATGAAGTTCTTTCAGAGTATTACATGCTTTGTCAATTTTTTCGCCGTCATTCCGGATGAGATTGGTGATTGGGAACGCTGTCGCACAATTTGGTTCAGCCCCCGAATCGCGTGCCAGTCGCAATACGTTGAAAGCACGTTTCAGATCACCAGCAGCAACATATGCCGCCAAAAGCGCGGCAAAATGCTCTTCTTCGATTTTAACACGCTTTGCTACGAGTGATTTAATGACTGTTGTGGCTAAATCAGGGTTTCCATTTCTAGCTGCTGCATTAATAATGCTTAGGCATATTCCTTGATCAGGTATCAGATTTGCATCGTCCACTGTTTTTTTCCAGCAATAAAGAATACCTTCGATCTAAAAACCATGAACAAAAAATATTAAATGGATATTATTAAATATGAGCAATAAATTCAATCAATCAAATGATTTATTAATAAATTACTCACATGAAAGTGAAACGCGCAACATCTCATAACTTCCATATATATTGTGGGCAATACATACTTGTAATATTTTTCAAGTTTAAGCAATGTTTCAAATGCCAAATCAACTTCATTTAGTGCAATCGCCAACTTCATAATTTGCCAAAAGGTTCTCGCGGTCGGTTTAATGAATCTCCTTTCAGTCATTTCATCGAGAACATCAAGAGCATGTTCTAACTCTTCTAAAACTATGAAGCCTTCAAGATAATGTTCATAAGTAAGAGGAGATGGTATCAGATTGTGTTTCTCTAATAGGCTCCATACATGCTCACGATATATTCCTGTTTGTGCAAATGAGGTCGACTATAGGAAAAATTTCGATTATATATATATATATATATATGTATAAATAATCTTAATATTTAATAATTACCATACCAATAATACGTGATTGAATGTTTCCAAATCAGGTGGAATTCCATTTTCAATCATTTCATGGAGTAAACCCGTGCATTCTTGGAATAAACCTTCACGTTGGTATACTTGGAGTATAAGATTATAAGTTCTTGTGTTTGGTTTGATCCCTCGATTCTTCATATCTTGACAAAGAAGAAATATATCAGGAAAAGTTCCAGCTCTTGTCAATTTTAAGAGTTCTCGGTTCAAGATGACCGTCTTTTGTTCTTCTTCAGTTAATGCATTTGAGTGTTTGGATGTATCAACAGTGGGCAACGTAATTTGTTCAATTGGTGGGTCGAAAGTCAAAGGGTCAATGTTGGCAGCAGCATGCCATTTATTAGTGACTGAAAGCCAAAATTACCTTGAGTGTAAGAGAATTATAACAGAGTATAAGGATACTAGCTTCAAAATGTTCCATTCATAAACTTGCCGTGCAAAAACCTTGTTGAATCGGGACTACTACGACGCGTTATTCCAATACCACTTCTCGAAAATAGTATTGTTGTTAAAGCTTTGTTCGTGTTCACGTGCAATTTTGGCCCGAGCAATACATGCTTGCATATTGGTTTAATTGCTCGTAAGGTTCGCGCGGACATTTTCTTAACGAGATGGCAGATGCAAATTTTCGACTCGAAATTTTTTTGTGCAATATGACGATCAAAAATTCAATTCATAATAAGATTGGCTCATCTCTCGTAATCGTAAGTGACTTCAGGTTCGGCATTTAAAAGTGTTAATTTCAAATGGGATGAATTATTTTATCTGTGATAAAAAAATAATTATTTATTTATAAAATTGCGTGCTGTCCATACACCAAATTACGAATTTTATAATAATCTTCCGATAAAGAACCCTCGAGAATGATTTCGCCAGCCGTTGTCTTTTAAAGAATTCAAATTTAATTGTCATGTCGTAATTGAATTTGTTATTATAAACCACTCACCTTACGAACAGCCACTCGTTCATTACATACTAACACACCTTCACCTTTGAATTCGGCAGTAATCCCTTCAGTTTGTAAGACGCGTTTGAGTTCTGTCAATTTAACTTCACCAACAAATACAGGTTGTCGAATATTCGCTTGCTCGGATTTATCCACGTCTAGCACCGCAACGTCAGAGTCCAAAGGAATATGAATTTTTCCTGTGACGTATGCAAGGTCGTAATCATCTAGCTGAAAATTTTCAAAATATATATAATGATGAAATTTTATTTAATACAATTGTATGTATTGACGGTTTAAATTGAGGAGGTTAAAGAAAAAAGGTACCTTTGAAAATTTCAAAGAACTAACTAACGCGTCTGTTAGTTTCACAGGATAGAATTTTATTTCCGCTGAAACATTTAATATTTCACCGATTGCTGGTGTGTATATATCTCTTGTCATTGATTCAATTGCTAGACAACTTTGTTTGAAATCAGCGGTAGCGTCTGGCGAGGCATGTATGATAATCTAAAAAAAATTTAAGAGTAAAATGCAATTTATATACACAATATAATCACATTTTTGTGGCATAAATAATAATACTAACCAATTTACGAGGTTGTATTTGAGGCACTATTGTTTTAATAGAGCGACCGTCATTTGTACCCTCAAAATCAATAAATCTAATCTGGCATTGCAACTCAACGTCTTGATTGTATGAGACGTATTTGGTCGGCACATCAGATTCAGAAGAATAGTTTGGATCGTCTCTTTCATTCTAAAACATCAAAATTTATAATTTATAATAATATATAAATACTTGAAACATACGTAATTATTTTGATATATAAATATATAATCAATACCATATCAACATCACTTCCTTCCTTTCCTTTTCCATCTTCCATATAATCCATAGTATTTACACTTTTAAGAAACCCATCTGTCTGAAGAGTTTCCCCATATTCGTCAAATCGTTTACGTTTCTCCACATATGGAAACATGCGATAACTCTGAGTCTGTTTAAAAAATCCACCAGATTTTGTCGCATCTTTAATGTACAAATCAAATTGTGTCGACAACAGTTCCTCCATATCATCATCATCAACCTCGTCGGATTCGGAATGATCAGACTCGTCATCTTCGATAATCATTTTTGACTTTGCGCGTAAAGCTGCTTCAGCCGCTTCTCGTTCCAGTCGAGTACGTCTTTCTGCATTATATTCTACAAGCTCGGCTCCTTCTAACGGGATCTTTTTGCGAATCTATTATTGATTATGGGAAAGAAGTAATAATTCATAATTGAATAAATGAAAAGAATGAATAATGACAGCAATTATAGGTTACTCACAACAAAATTCATAGTCTTATTAAAATATACAGCAGGCTTAATGACTGGTTGTTGCGATTGCTGTGCAGCTGATGCCAATGTATCTACAGCTGGTTGTGACGACGCTAATTCTTCCCAATTCATATATAAATACCTTGCTAATGAATTTGGGGGACCACGATCCGTAAGTATTAGAACATTTCTTTTGTCCGTTCCCCACTCCAAAAATAACTCGCGCGCATATCCAGTTTCCAGACTGACATTGCTGGCAAGAACAACTTTTAGACCTGGATACTTTGTAAGATCTTTATATCTATGACACAATCGAAGATACCTATCATCAAGTAACAAAATAACAAACAAATTTCCATAAATAAAGGATAAAACTTTTCTTTGGAATACGAGAGACAAAATAAAACAAACCTAAATTCAAAAGGATTTTCTCTTGAGGTATCAAATTGTCTGTTAATCGCATCGCCCATCCATTCAAGCATACTTTTTGCATATTGAAGTGTTCGATAACTTTGGTGAGTCATTAGGATTAATGGATATGAAATATGATTCGCTGCCCAATGCTGATCTAAAAGATACGCCAATTCTAAAACTCTGGCTGATGAATCTGTTGGGATTAATACGTTTCCTTCATTTTGCAATGTTTTAATGATTGTTTCTTTAAAATAATAATTATCTTAATAAATGAACTATAAATTAAGACATATTTTTTATAAAGACATTGTATTTACCAAATAACGCGTTATCCCGAAATTTTCTCGGTGGATGAACGATAAGAGAGTTATACGCGTCGGTTATCATTAACGAAGGACGACTTAAAGCTTCAAGAACTTCTCCATTCAAGTGTAATACTGTACCATCTAAATGTCTTATAATACAAGTAGAATATTTTTTAATAAGAATTCAATATACACGTGTGTAAAATATGATGAGAAAAAATTCAGTAAAGAAAATTACTTTTCTTTCTTATGATTATAATCAACAGCATATACTATTTCTTCCGTGTCCTTTTTTATCTTCCATAAAGTCCCACCAATGGTATGTCCGGCAGAATACGCTGTAATTGTGATTCCTTGACACTTACCTATGAAGATCATATCCAAAAATTTTCTGTGTAAAGAGTCATATAAACATAATTGATTTTTGATTTTTACATAATATTCATATGAAAATAGATTAAATATTAGCACATCGTTTCAACTGACCTGTCAACGCAGTCGGTTGTGAATACTTTAACTGGGTCACTTTCTCGAAAGCCGCATCGACGTTATCTAAAGCGAACGTATCGAATTCTTCCTCATTTGCTTTCGACTGATAACAGTCGTACATGCACATTCGACCCATATGTACCACTGGTACAGTGGCGTACACAGGGCAAGTTAACCCGAAATTTCCATACGCGTACGGGAACGCGCCTAAATGTGCTAGATCAGGGTGACTGAGTAAAAGTACATCGACTTGCTTTGATACTCTAAAAAATATTAAAGAGACAAAAAAAAGGTTAAAAAAAAAGAAAATTAATAAAAAAATAACCGTGTAAGGAACTACCTTCGCAAGTGCTTAAGATCTTCCAAATCAAAATGGTCGTTCCAGCCACAATCTAGCATTATCTTTACATTTCCCTCTATTTCTACCAAGTAACATAGCGCTTCCTCGTTCTGAGCGCCAGATATAGCGGTAAATACAATCATTTTTTTTATGAAAAATTGCACATTGGCTTAAGCCATTTTTGAAGTCTTTTTTGTGTAACAAAGGTTAATGTATTTCACATGACCCAATATTGTACTACTTTTTCTCACTATCGCTGATTTTGGGTAAGACTAGACTGATGTTACACGGTTTACGTAATGGTGTACATTGTCTTGATCATCTATCTAAACGATCTTTCTCAGTAGTACTACCCGTTGATTTGATTTCATTCCTAATACTGCTAATAAAGAAACTTGCCACCACACAATGTCGACTCGTTGGGACGATTACGACGAAAATCACAGAATTTGTCTTTTCCCGATTCCTCGGTTTCGCTTAGTTGAAAATAAACGTGATGTAGGAGTTTATGTTTCTGGCGTCTTGGTAAGGTTTATTAGAACACGTGTTTCTTGAGTGATTTGACATTTATAGATATAATGAATATATGTTCGAAATATATTTTACAGTTTGCATTAGGCTGGTGGTTTTTTATTGATGCAGTAGTCTATGCTTCGACAATAGATCATCCTGAAGTCACTTTAACATTTGTTGATTGGATGAATGGAATTTTTAGTACTCTGGGATTAATTTTGTAAGAATTTAATTGTATATTTTATGTTTACGAGCATGATTATTATTCTTATTTGTGGTTGAGGGGAGAATTAAATTTGATTCGGTCCTTTTCTATATTAAACATTGCTTTATTTGAAAGATTAATCAGGGAATAAATAAATCAATTAATGTGAGAATAAATAAAAATAAGAACTTTATCTTTATACATACAATTAGCGTAAATTCTGTTGATAAGTCACGTCTCCTTGATGATGATTTTGGATATTCGAGCAATGTATCCGCGTGTAGACGGTTCCTGTTGTTTATAGGGCTTGCATTGATGGGGAGTGGATTAGCTGGCTCTGTGGTATGTAATAATTTAAACCAGAATAGCAGCTTCTAATTTTTATGCTGAATTATTGTTAACTAATTGCTATTATTGTTATTATTATTATTATTATTATTAATTATTATTATTATTATTATTATTATTATTATTACTTATTCTCTTTTTTTAAAAAACTGGTATTTTTGATATAGACTGTATTAATTCTTAAATATATAATGCCCGAAATCGAAATGCCGGTTTTATATTTCGGTATCGCAGAAGTTGCACAGAATACTGCAATTATGCTAAGGTATTATATTGTTTTATCAATGCTGAAATTTCATTAAAACTGAAAATTTCCTAATTTCATTTTACTCGAATGTTTAATAGTTCGGTTGCCCTTTGGATTGCACCAACTAATAATGAATATCAGTATAATTACGTCTTATAAATCTCTTATTTAATAGCTTCTCGTAATTATACTTGGTTGATTTATGGTTTTAATTTATTTGCAACGAAAAAAATTCCCATTTTTTTAATGATCGATGTTTGTCTATTACTTCTTTGTTATATTTTTGATTTACAGCAAGATTTATTGTGTGAAAATGTATTAATATTTTATTACTAATTTGATTAATTAAAATATAAAATCTTTTATAGTGAGAGCAGGATAAGCTTTGTTTATTATTGAGAATTATAAAAGATTGGATTGCACAAAGAGGAACGAGTTTTCATGTCGCAATTAATATTCATAATGAACACAAGTTAATCAATCAAATATCAAACATATTAAATAATTTCTTATCAAAGAAAGATAAATATTCAACAGCCAAAAATATTTATATAAATATAAATAATAATAATAATAATAATAAAACAACGCAGATCCTACCAATCAATTACCTAATTGAATTCATGCCTCTTCCCTCTCTTCCTCCTCTTTATCATCACCATCTCTCATAATCTGACTTTTGTTTCTCTTTTTCTTGTCTAGCTCTTTAATCATTTTAACCACCAACCCATCATCATCATATACTAATGTCCCAGCTTTCCACATTCCAGTCTTTACCCCGATTTCCTTATTTTTTTCGTATTCTTTTCGAATCGCGTCCTCATTTCCTTTCCAATCTTTATACAGTTGCAGGTTTTGACGGCCCATTAGACGCATCGTTTTTACGCGTAGATCTTGTGCGCTCTTTAGGTAGAAGACAGTGAGAGGAATTATAATTTATAAATCGATATATTTTAATTACATCATTAATATATACGAACCCAATCCGGCAATAAATTGTCAGAAATTTCGCGAAAATGTCCGATCCCATATTTTGCTATGCCTTGAATGAGTAATGAACGTTCTTTCTCGGTCCATTTACGTTGCCCATTACTTTGACTAAGTATTGCGCCTTGGGTTGGTCGAAAGTAGCTTTTGAATTTTATACGTATCAATTTGATTGAAATGTGGTTAAAAACAATCCTCATATTTATAACTTACGCTTGATTCAATGTTCCATCCGGGTGTATCATATTCTTTGTGATTTCAAACTCCGGTTGGACACAAAACTTTATACGCATTCTCTTGACCCATTCCTGCTTTACTTTGTATTTGTCTTCAGATATTACCGGGTTTTCAATACCACCCGTCTTGTCCTTGTCTTGGACAAGGTTGTCATCGGTTGTCAATTCTTGATTGAAACCTTGCTCAGAAGTAATAACTGCCGGTGCAAATTCTGTAAATGAAATTTCGTCATTGTTATCCACTTGCATTGGTTCATGTGGAATACTAGCTGGTGTTTCCTGCGTCATTTCAGCCAAACACGTAAAATATTGTGAACGAGAACTAGGTAAAGAACAATCCATTATGACTGCGTCATCACTAAATTTATTATTATCTCCAACATGCAAACGCTGGGAAGTGCCCGCGTCGATGCTGGCATGGACGTACAAATCACTTTTTGGTTTAGAAGTATTTGAACTAATTGTTTCTGCCATATTTTCCATTTAACAGGCTATACAATAATAAAGTCTATTCTATATATTATTCTCTACTAGTAGTATACATAGTAAATGAGTGAAAATCTAAAGTCGCGTCGCTTTAAATTTTTAGAGATGTTGATCTATTGGCTATGTTATAAGAATTTCTACACGCAAATCGACATTACAATTTCCAAAAATAACAAAAAAACAAGGATATATAGATAGAGTAACGCGTCAAAAAAATAGATTTAAAAAATATAAAATTTTTTTTTATTTTGAAAGAGCGAGACGCACACATCAGCCAAAATGCCTATAAAACGCACGAAAGTAAAAGTACCGTAAAATATTTTAATTTTCCTATGTCTTTTTATGTATAGCCAATAGAAAGACGCGAAAATGTATTATCCATTTTCTAAATCCTTTTACTTAAATAGACAAATGTGACCACGTATAAATCGAAGGCTTCGTCGCTTGCGACGAAAAAGAATGGGTCGAAATCATCTTCGAAGTCTACCATTAAGGGAAAGACGAAAGAGGTATCCTATTTGTTGTTTTAGCCATTTATTGCTTGTTCATTATTTCTTGAGACAATTTTAAAAGAAACCTAAGTTTGATTACGTGGAATACCAAATTCGATGTCGACGTTTAATCAATATGTTCAACAAAGTTTATTTATGCGTCCATTTGGCGAAATGTTTGATAAGTCTTTAATAATAATTCTTTATTCTAACACCATTCTCATTTTATTGAGACGTCAATGCCAGTGTTTGAGCCTACGAAAATGGCAGTCTTCTCCAAACAATATCCCGACCAATATTGGAAATGTCACGCCGAAAGTGGTCACGGAATGATTAACTATATAAACGAAGAACGCCAACTCGAATTAATAAACGTGGATGTTCATGATCAAGGTATTTTCGGTGAAACATCTGGTTTTGAGTCGGAAATACCTAAGGGCTGTTGAATATGTTTGTAGGTCCAATAACCGGCATGACGCTCTCTCCGGATGGTACGATGCTTGTCACGTTTTCTAATGTTGGATATGCTAAAATATGGGACACTTCGGATTTTCGAATGATTCAAAAACTGAGAGATTCTGAAATCTCGGTAAAAACAATAAACAAGGTTTTTCGAATTTCCCGATTCATTTAATGACGTGAAGATACTTTGTAATAATAGGAAACACAAATAGATGAATTCTTTGTTGGAAAATTCACCCCTGATCAAACACGGCTTGTTGTCGGGGGGAAGTTAAAAGATAGAATGCGTTGGTCAATAGAGGATGAAGATAATCACATATTACCGTGCCCGTTAAAGGTTCGAATTTTTTTGTTAATTTTCTACAACTCAAAAAAATCTGGTCCAAAATTTTTTGATTTATCTTGTTATTCATTAGATATTTGATGTAATAAGTGGCAAAGTTATTTCAAGACTTGATGGTCATGCAGAAGAAATACTGTGTGTAAAGAGTATCATGTATAAAGGTACCCCATACTATATAACTACTAGTCAGGATGGATATATCATCAAATGGCAAATGGAATCTGATTGGACGTGAGCAGTTGTTATATTATTTTTGATAGATTTTTATAAATTAATTCATTTATATAGCTCGAACATTTTCACTTTCAGTACGCTTGTTAGCTCAAAAAGAATGGAGGACGGGATAACATGTATGGCGTTTACGGTTTCTTTTGTTCCGAACACTGGTAACCGATATTTTTTGGCTGCCACCGATGAACACATAAGATTGTATGATTTTGAAGAAGCACAGGTGTTTTTTTATTGTTATCACCGATTACTAGTCATCGTTTGGTCAATTTATTAATAATTAATTAATCTTCTAAAATATTTAATTGAATGATTTCTATTATTTTTTATCATCAAGCTTATGCAAACTTTTGCAGATATGTACTCGCAATATTGTGATTGTGGTAAATTTATTCACCCTGTAGAGTCGCTTGAAGAAGAGGAGGAGGATGACGATGAAAGTCCCTTAGAGATCGACGAGGCTTCCGCTACTAATAATAATAATAATAATAATAATAATAATAATAATAATAATAATAATAATAATAATAATAATAATAATAAT